GCGCTGTGCTCGTGCGTGCCCTTTTCTCCCCCAGCCAGGCCGCCATGGCAGGTTGGCTGGGGAAGGGAAGGGCAGGCAGGCAGGCAGATATGCCCTCTTTCCCCACCCGTGCCTCTCTGGTTTTGTGGAGAAACTCGGGGAAGTCGGGGGGGATTTCAATGCCTTTCTTTCCCTTCCCCATCTGGGGCAGGGAAAGAAAGGCATTTTAAACATGCCTGCCCTTTGTCAGGGGGTGTGGCATATGCAAATGAGTTATGCAAATTAGCCCCCTGCACCTCTTTTTCTATAAAATGACCCCTGAGTCTCAATATTTTATATTTATCTAGCTTCTTAGGGTTGCCAACTCTGGGTTGAGAAATACCTGGAGATTTTGGGGGGTGGCGCCAGAGGAGGGCGGGGTTTGGGGAAGGGAGGGACTTCAGTGGGATATAATGCCACAGAGTCCACCTTCCAAGGCGGCCATTTTCTCAAGGGGAATTGATCCTTGTTGCCTGGAGATCAGTTGTCATAGCGGGAGATCCCCAGCCACCATCTGGAGGTTGGCAACCCTATTCTAACTCCCTTCCTTTTCCATTTTAGGTGGTGTGTGGGGGGTAGTAAGGGTTTTAACAAGTGAGAAGACATAGTGAGTCCAGTGGTGCTGTAGTTGAACCTTATGAAGCATCCCCCCACCCTTCCCTTTTTTTAGTTTTACTGGGCTGTAGCTAGGCCTGCCAAATCTTGCCAAATCGCGGCGGGGGATCTGCATGTCTTCACAGAATCCTTGCCGCGGGGACAGCGAGACGCGTTGCACTGCCGTCGCAGGGAGCCTGAACAATGCTTGCAAAATAGGTACAATATGCATTGTTTTACAGCTTCAACCAGCCACACCATTTTGCACCAGCTGAAGTTTCTGAGTAGCCTTCAAGGATAATCCCATGAAGAGTGACATTACAGCACTATAGTTTTGAGATTACTGAGAGAAATTAGGCTTGCCAGCTGTTAACTCAGTATTTAATACCGGCCTATTGCTTGCGCCTGGCAGGAGATGGGGCCGGAGCGTCATGTGCAACATGATATCACTTCCAGGGGAAATTGGAAGTGACATAACATCGCTGCAGGAATTGCTGGTAATTTCAGGGGTCATTTCGTAGAAAAAGAGCTAGGGGGACTCATTAGCATAACTCATTAGCATATGCCACACCCCCTGACATCAGGGGCCCGGCGGTGGACCTGCAAGGCCGGCGGGAGTGCAAGGTAGCCCCGCGAAGGCCCTCCCTGGCCCCAGGGGAAGGGGATGAACATTTTGAGATCGCTGATATCCTTGATTGTAAATTGAAACGTGGTAAACTCTGGTACCTTATCGAATGGGTTGATTTCGGTCCCCAGCACCGCGAATGGGTGGAAGAAGGGGATATTCGGGCCCCTTACCTGATCCGTAGTTTCCACAAGAGGTTCCCGGACAAACCGGGAGGTCTCCCGCCCAGCCCGGGAGATCTCCCGCCCGACCCGGGAGGTGTGTTTTAAGTGTATTTTAAGGGGGGCAGTATGTCAGCAAGCTGCCATTCTGTTTTCTGTGACCTCTGTGTACATATCCTTACCCTGTTGCACCCGGCTTGTTTCTACTATCCTGCTTCTGTGCTGGAATGCCTAAGATAACTACTGGTGGATGTGTGTGGGAGAAGATGCTGTAATGCTTGCCTATTGCTATCTCATGAGAACTGCACCTGTGTTTTGTCTGATGTTCTGCCTGGTTCCCATGGACTGGGCGCGCAACCGTTTCATTAGCCCGCCAGCGGGAATATTATTCATTGGATATGTATCTGTTTGAATTTACTTTATTATGCTCGCCCTACCTGTGTATCCCCAGTTCTAACAAAGAACGTGTTTGAGTATGTCTTCAACGCTTTGAAATAAATTTTGCTTTTCTTGAAAACGTGGATTTATTCTCGATGCTTGGGGATCCAACAAACCATCAAGTTTCCAGTGATTTAGAGTGACACAATGTTTATTCTAGGGTTTTCACCAGAAGTGGTGTCATGCTGTGTGCGATGGAATTTTTTAAAAAAATCTTCCATTGCCCAAAGGAGTGGTGGCAGGAAACAGGTTGCTTCCTTGAAGGTCTCCTGCCATAGCGGGAGACGGAAATCCAATATAATAGTGAGACATATGTGAACACAAAAAAATTAACTGTGTGTGGCATCAATACCAATTTCAAAAATCAATAAATAATAATAATTAACAAATAATTCATTTTTAGACAAATAAATAAACCATTTATACAGTTTCCAAACCCTAAGCAATATTATTCAACAGGCTGAGTCCAAGAATGGTTCTGATCTACACATTAAGTGCAAACTTTCTAAACCCTTCAAAAAACAGACTCTTGGGCTCCAGCAAAAGAACAGGATTCAAACTCATTCCCAGGGCCGGCTCACTCATTAGGCGAACTAGGCGATCGACTAGAGCGGGCTGGCCCAAACTTCACCTCCACTTTGTCAGGGTTAATGTTCAGTTTGTTTGCCCTTAGTCACTTGACAATGGCTGCCAGGCATCAGCCCAGAACAGACATCCGCCTCAGCCAGATTCAGGAAAGACAGATCATTCAGGTTTCATCTATATATTGCTGGCAACCTACCTCAAAAGTCCCAATCAGATGCCAGTGATCTAACCTAAATATTAAATACCAAGTATTATAATTCTGAGCCCTGAAGAGCACTGCAGAAAAGATCCCGATTTGCTGAAGCAGTCTCCTCAGCAATGAACCTCTGTGCACAGGCATCCAAAAGCATACGTACACTTTGATGGAGACAGCTGCACCTGTTTAATTTCTGCCTGTTGTGCAGTTGTTAAAAGCAGAGAATCCCTGTTGGGGAAGTGGAAATAGAAACATCTTTATAATTATCTTTCACATTTTCATTTCACCTGCCTCTAAGGAATTAAGCATCTATACAAGAGTCCCCCTTCCTCCATTTTATCTTCCCAACAGCCCTGCAAAGTAGGCTAGGCTGAGAGAGAATGGCCAAGGTTACCCAGTAACATTCATGGATGAGGGATGGGCATGAATGAACCTGAATCTCCAGCCACCCATCCTAGCAGCTGGAGGAACATGGTACTACTAAAACTAACTTTATTTAATGTAAGAATCTGCAAGTATCTACAAATGAAAGCCAGTGAGGCATATTAGTTATAATAGAAGCTAAGAGACTTGCGTACAAATCTCTACTCTGTCATGAAGCTTACTGGGTGAGCTTGGACCAGTCATCCTCTGTCATCTTGACCTATCCACAAGGTTGTTATAAAATAAAAATGGGGAAGAAAAGAAGAAGAGATTGGATTTATACCCCGCCCTTCACTACCCAAGGGTGTCTCGGAGCGGTTTATAATCTCCTTTCCTTTCCTCTCTCCACAACAGACATCCTGTGAGGTAGGTGGAACTGAGAGAACTTTAGCGAAAACTGTCCTTGAGAGAACAGCTCTGAAAGAACTTGTGACTGACCCAAGGTCACACCAGCAGTTGCATATGGAGGAGTGGGGAATCAAACCTGTTTCTCCCAGATTAGAGTCCACGCTCCTAACCACTACACCAAACTGACTGTCCAGAACACTGAGCTGAAGCCTGAGATAAAAATGTCCTGGATAGATCTCATCATCCAAGTTCTGACTCACCTTTATGTCCAGTTCTCTTTTGGCTCCCTGAAAACTCTGTCTTAATTCTCCTAAAAGTCACAGAGCAAATAACTGCTCTTCAGTTTCCTCTCCTGGTCACCAAGGAAGTCACAAAATAAATCTGTTTCCTCATGCAAGACTTTCACCCTCTTCAAGGGGTGTGACCAAGTTTCCTGGTGCTCACATTTCAGCACATGCTGGAGACAGGCAGGCTGCCATTTTGTATGCTGCTTTTGTTGTGAGGGGCAACGTAGGCCTACAATGGAAGATGAATATAGACATGCCAGATCTTGTATTATTGTTATTTAGAGAGTTTATATGGCTCTTTCTGAGGGTGCTGCTCAAGGCAGCTTACAGGTAAAAAAATACAATAAAAACATAATAAATGATCAATATAAAAACAAGCCATTAAAAACAAACCAGGGGCATAAAAACAGCATAAAACACACTCAGAAATATCCATAGAACAGACCTGAGACCAGAAGCAGACCATAGAGCATAAAAGTTCTTAGTTAAAAGCCTGGGCAAAAGGAAATGTTTTTAGCTTGTCACCGAAAGGATGGTGTGGTAAGCGCCAAGTAAGCTTCAGGGGGGATGGCATACCGAAGATCAGATGGCACCAGTGAGGTGCTGGAAGGAGGATTCTTAGGGTCTTTTCTCATTGAGGTTTTCCCATTATTTGGGTGCCAGTTTGCTGCGTTTTTTATCCAAGTTTCCTCAAGTCCTTGTTGCCACTATGTGGGGTTTTTGTCGTTTCTCTGTGCTTTTTCAAATCAAGTCAAAGGCATGGAGCAACAATGAGGGAAACAGAAGGACAACATATGGGAAAAAAGAATGTGTGGATGCTCAGAAAAAGCACTTCAGGCCACCACGTAAACCACAGGGAAATCTATATGGGGAAGGACTCTTGGCCTGTCTTCGAGAGATGAAGCATCTCCAATTCAAAGGAAACACACAGAACCAAGGGTCATCATTTCAGAGATGTAACATGCCAAGAAACCAGCTGTTCCTGAACCTCTGGGCAAATCCACTTCCATAGACCAGCAGTTAAACATAGGAACATAAGAGAAGCCATGTTGGGTCAAACCAATGGCTCATCCAGTCCAACACTCTGTGTCACACAGTGGCCAAACCCCAGGTGCCCTCAAGAGGTCCACCAGCAGGGCCAGAACGCCAGAAGCCCTCCCACTGTTACCCCCCAAGCACCAAGATAGGGTTGCCAGGTCTTACCAGTGTCCTGGTGGGAGTCTTCTAGCGCGCACTTGGCACGCACACCACAATGACATCTCCCAGAAGTTATATCATCATGCCGGGCACATTGTTCAGGGGACGCTCTAGCATCTGTGTTAAAAAAACCTCTATGGTCACTATAGAGTTTTAACCCAAATATTAGAGCAGCCCCTGCACAACATACCCGCCATGATGACGTCGCCTCCAGGTGATGTCATTGCGCCGGGCACGTCGGGCGTGATAGGGCTCTTTGGGGGCAGGGCTCCCCTGCCGGCCAGTTGGCTAGTGGCGGATTGGGCATACTCTGAAAGCAGGAAAAACCCATCCCCCATTGGGGGGATGGCAACCCTACACCAAGAATCACTACCCAAGATGGACTGTGACATCTATATTTTGTGGCTAATAGCCACTGATGGGCCTCTGCTTCACATGTTTATTTAATCCCCTCTTGAAGCTGTCTATGCTTGTAGCCGCCACCACCTCCTGCTGCAGTGAATTCCATGTGTTAATTACTCTTTGGATGAAGAACTGCTTCCTTTTATCTGTTCTAAGCCTACTGCTTAGAATGAAATGAGTTTTTGTATTGTGAGAAAGCGAGAAAAGTATTTCTTTCTCTGCCTTCTCTATCCCATGCAGAATTTGGTAAACCTTTATCATGATACCCTTCAGCCATCATTTCTCCAAGCTAAAGAGCCCTAACCTCTTTAATCTTTCTTCATAGGAAAAGTTCTCCATTCCCTTAATCATTTCAGTTGGCCTTTTCTGCACCTTTTCCAGTGCAATGCTCCCTCTAAGCTGTGGAGTCTTGTGAGCCAAAATTCTACTCTGTTAGCTACTGGCATTAAAATTGTGAGCAAAGATTTGGCTACTGCATAAATTAGTTTGCTCTGGAGCCATCCTTCCGGAGCTAAGACAAAAATCTGTTAGCTGAA